CAGAAGACTACTGGATATTTCTAAAAGGCACAAGCCAGCAAACCAATTTTTGTTCTAAGAATGTTTTCCAAACATTCTATTTTGGTTATGGAAACGTTAAAATGTTTTAAGGTTAGTATAATGTTCCTGATATGTTCTTTCAACTTATTTTTTTATTAATAACTTAACAAAATGCCTGCATTAAAATGGTTTTAACAACTGCGTTTTATGTAGCTTTGTAACTTATGTAAAATAGTTATGGAGTTGAAGCATTACTGAAAAAAAATATTAAACATTTAGCCATTCAGTTATTGTGAAAGAAAGATCACTTATAACACTAATGAGATCTGCATACGCTCTTCTATTCTAAACTGTACTCTTGTCTAAAGGTTGAGACACACTTGGACATCAACACTCATCATACAAACCTCAACCATGGTGACAAGCAAATAATGTTAAAATATAAATATAGCAAAATAATTCAGATGCATATGTTTTTTATGCCGCAATGCATGCTGGGAGCCATGAATGAGTTTTGTGTGTGACCATTGTTGCACTTCATATGCTGATTGTTGATGTCTGTGAGCGTATATATAGCACTGTTGTTATTAACTTTGCAACATGATTTAGTTTTTCTGAAAATCTGATTTGTATAATCGTTTCACTTTGTCAGTACAATATTTAAAAAAGTTAATTACATGATACCACCAGTAATTAAATCGATGTCATCTGATGTTATACTGTCTTTGAGCTCTTCTGATACAGCAATAGTGTTTTCTGAACAATTTGATACAGTAGCCAGAGAAAATAAAAAATAAAAATCAAGGATCAAGTGCCCAACTGCGAGAAACACTGATCTGATGTGTGTTCCTCTTTCCTTTAGTGATTTTACTCATTAATATCAGGTGTCATCACTAATGGTCACATTGAGCAGTGTTAGACACAGGGGACTTTGTGTGTAGCGTCTAACCTTAACTACAACCCCATTGTTTAAACTAAAAAGTTAGTGATCCTTAATATTTTAAGGATGTTAAAAGAATGTTTTTCAAAGATTATGCAAACATTATGAGAACATTCATCAAATACTAATAACAATATGTGGTGATTTCATGAACATTGTTTTGAAAGTGTTAAATTCTAACACTTGCATCAATTTAAGAGTAAAGTTAGGAACAATAGCAAGGGGACAGGCTATAAAACTGTCCCATGTTCCAAGGATGTTCTTTTAAAACAGCAAACACAACCTCATTCATTTGAAGTTTGCTGTCATTCTAAATATTTAAAGGACGTTCCAAGAATCTTGTTCTAAGAACGCTTTCTCCCAAATTATGAGGACATTAAAAAAAATCTCTTCGTGAGGCTTTAAATAAAATCATCAGAGTGTTTGTGATGTGAATGTAACAGAGACTCACCGTGAATCATGAGCAGAAAGATCAGAGGAAGACGAAGAGACATTCTGACCGACATCAGCGTCAAATATATCTATAATACAGCATTAATCAGCACTTATAATCATAACTTGTGCTGTATGTACATCAACCTATTCTTAACGATTATCACGTTAAGACACGTATGTTATATGAGCAATAATCATCAGTTTTCATTAAAGTACGAGCATTTCTTGACATTATTTATTTGAGATTTGAACAGTATCTTAATGATATTACAATAAATATAGTTAAAAAAAAATGTGCCATATAACACATTCATCTGATATATAAATATATATATATATATATTTTATTATTAATATTGTTGTTGTTATTTATGTGTTCTTTGCTTTAAGTAAAGTAACATGTTAGCAATGGCAAGATATGAGATTTATAAAACATTATAACTATGTGAAATATAATCCATTGTAAGTTAAGTGGATGCATTGTGTTCATTGTGTATTACCAATCCCCATAATCTTAAAAGGACGAAGAGCCATTCTGACCGACATCAGCGTCAAATATATCTATAATACAGCATTCATCAGCACTTATACACTCATCAACAGTACATGCACATCACCCTATTCCTAACATTTCTCACATTAAGACACGTATGTTATATGAGCAATAATCATCAGTTTTCATTGAAGTACGAGTGTGTTTGTCTTACCGTGTTGAAGCTCATCAGATCAACAGCAGACAAATGACTCTTTAAACACATATACTTATAGCTCTAGGCTAACAGACTATACGTGGTTAACACGGAAATATCAGTGTTCCTTCCTCAACAAGAGAACAACATTACTGCAATACAACTAAAGTAAAATAGTGAGCTAATTGCTGCATAATTAGAATTTAGTTCAGTAGTTCAGAGTAAAATGATCAGTTAGGATTTAAAAGCAGGAATATGTTGTAAAATAAGGAAGTGCGGTAACACTTTCTATGAGGCACATTTTTATAACACATTATAAGGGTATTCTTAAGGCATTATAATAAATGAAATATAATCCATTGTAAGTTAAGTGGATGCATTGTGTTCATTGTGTATTACCAATCCCCATAATCTTAAAAGCTATAACTATCAATAACTAAATATTATAATGCATTAAAACTGTTGTTATGATTACTCATGATATGATACAACATATTATAAGGTTTTTATAATACATTATGCATTCATTATAATGCCTTAAGAATACTCTTATAATGAGTTATAAATACGGGCTTCATAGTAAGGTTTACCGAAAGGGCTTGTATCCACCACTGAACATCAGTGTGAATGACTCCAAATAATCAATGTTGATTCAATGACATCCAAATGTGAGTTTTGTGGCTTTTAGTTCCTGTCTATCAGTTCTGAGATCTTTTATATGCTAATAATGTTCTTTGACATATAATCCTCTACCATGTGTGCGTTCGACTTCACTTTTAGACACACACTCGCCCGAACTTCCCCAAGCACTTCCCCTCAGAGGAATCTCCACTGCCATTTTGAAGTGCATTCCCCTTTGTGAACATGTGGACAGATTCTTGACCCCTTGATTTTAACCGAGGGAGTGAGTCTTCTTCACATGTGCACTTCAGACCGCTCCATAGACCACAATGCTGCACTATTGCAGACTGAGCTTAATTTACCCCCACCCCAAACAACTATTTGATATATTAATTATAATTTTTTTATATATATTTTGAACAGCTCAAACACAACTATATACATATAGAATGCTGCATCAAATAAATTAATAAGGGAAAAATATATAAATAAACTCAATAACGGATTCCAAGTGATCAAGGATTTAGGACAAGGGTCTACAACCCTTCTACTGGGGAACTATCGTCCTGCAGATTTCAGCTCCAAGCCCAATCAAACACACCTGAACTAGCTAATCAAGGTGCTCAGGTTTACTTGATAATTACAGGCAGGTGTGTTGGAGCAGGGTTGTGTAATATTCGTATTAGATGAGCAGACGTGCATTAGTGACCTGGCGTGAGAGATTCTTTCTACACAGCACAACTTTATAGTTCGAGTAGCCTATTGTAATCTGCAACAGTATGTAGGGATTGGGGCTATTGTGAGTGATTTTGATATCTTGACGATGGGCACGTTCTTGAAGGTGACGGAGACGTGGTAGTTTTACTATGCATGTCTTCCACTGTGTTTATTTTTCAATAGGATCAAAGAAAAGAAGATTTAAATGACCTGGGCTGTGTTTCCCAAAAGCATCGAAGGCCTAAGTAGATCATAGATTGCCACCAATGGTCTCTACGATCAACTTAGCTTGCCATGCTTTTGAGAAATGCAGCCCTGAATATTGAATCCGACTCCATCTGTTAGTTAAATGGGTCATATGATGCTATTTTAAAGATCATTATTTTATGTATTTGGTGTAACAGAATATGTTGACATGCTCAAAAAACACATTATTTTTCAAATACTGTACATTATTGTAGGTCCTCTATGCCCCGCCTCTCTCAAACACGTCGTTTTCAACAAAGCCCCCTCCTTTGACAAGCGCAGTCTGCTCTGATTGGCCAGCTGAACCAGTGCATTGTGATTGGCCGAATACCACAAGCATGCGTCGGAAAATGTAACGCCCCTTACCATAATCACGAGCTTCAGCTTTCAAAGTAAATATCAAGACAGTTAATAATGTCGTTAGTTTTACCATCAGTTCAAGCCTGAAAGGGGAACAGAGTCGCGTGACAGACACAGTGATGATGCAGTACACAAGCCGCGGTTAAGACAGCTGACGTGCTATGATTTCTGACAG